GTGACAGTGACGATACTGACAATGACAACAATGCCACTGTCCCCAGGTGTCCCGTTCGTGCTGCGCTGCTGGGATGGTGGTGGATGTTGATGATGTTGATGATGTTGATGTCGATGATGATGATGACAATGGCAATGATGATGGCAATGGTGACAGTGACGATATTGACAATGACAATGATGCCACTGTCCCCAGGTGTCCTGTTCATGTGGCACTGCTGGGATGGTGGTGGATGTTGATGATGGATGTCGATGATGATGATGATGACAATGGCAATGATGATGACAATGGTGACAGTGACGATATTGACAGTGACAACAATGCCACTGTCCCTGGGCGTCCCGTTCGTGCTGTGCTGCTGGGATGGTGGTGGATGTTGATGATGTTGATGTCAATGATGATGATGACAATGGCAATGATGGCAATGGTGACAGTGATGATATTGACAATGACAACAATGCCACTGTCCCCGGGCGTCCTGTTCGTGCTGCGCTGCTGGGATGGTGGTGGATGTTGATGATGTTGATGATGGATGTGGATGTCGATGATGATGATGACGATGGCAATGGTGACAGTGACGATATTGACAATGACGCCGCTGTCCCCAGGCGTCCTGTTCGTGCTGCGCTGCTGGGATGGTAGTGGATGTTGATGATGATGTTGATGTCGATGATGATGGCAATGGTGACAGTGACGATATTGACAATGACAATGACGCCGCTGTCCTCAGGCGTCCTGTTTGTGCTGCGCTGCTGGGATGGTGGTGGATGTTGATGATGTTGATGATGTTGATGTCGATGATGATGACAATGGCAATGACGATATTGACAATGACAACAATGCCACTGTCCCCAGGCGTCCCGTTCGTGCTGCGCTGCTGGGATGGTGGTGGATGTTGATGATGGATGTTGATGTCAATGATGATGATGACAATGGCAATGACGATATTGACAATGACGCCGCTGTCCCCAGGCGTCCCGTTCGTGCTGCGCTGCTGGGATGGTGGTGGATGTTGATGATGTTGATGTCGATGATGATGATGACAATGGCAATGATGATGACAATGCTGACAGTGATGATATTGACAATGACAATGACGCCGCTGTCCCCAGGCGTCCCGTTCGTGCTGCGCTGCTGGGATGGTGGTGGATGTTGATGATGTTGATGTCGATGATGATGGTAATGGTGACAGTGATGATATTGACAATGACAATGACGCCGCTGTCCCCAGGTGTCCCGTTCGTGCTGCGCTGCGGGAAGGCGCTGAACGAGCGCAAGGCCGAGGTGCGGCTGCAGTTCCGGGAGGTGCCCGGGGACATCTTCGCGCGGCAGTGCAAGCGCAATGAGCTGGTGGTGCGCGTGCAGCCGCGCGAGGCCGTCTACGCCAAACTCAACACCAAGAAACCGGGAATGTACCTGCGGCCCGAGGAGTCCGAGCTCGACCTCACCTACGGCAGCCGCTACAAGGTACCCAGA